CTACCATCTTTGAAACAAATCTATAATTACAAGAAGCTATTTGTTATGAATCTTGTAATTAGTTTTGGATGCTAGTAGATTTTTTTGAATAAAAAGCTATAAGATTAAGTTTTTCATTTGCTTCCATTTATGACTACATTATATCCAAAATAAGGTCAAATGCATCTATTTTTATAAAAAAATACCTTATAAAATATGATTAATATTTTAATAAAATTTGTCTTTAAAGCTTCAAATGCTACTTTAGCTTCTTTATTCTACTTAAATTTTTCTATATAAATCAAATATATAAGTGGAGTTGCAACTTAAAAAAAGTTTTTTAATAAAATTTGATAATAATTACCAAATTCCAAAAAGCATTGGACTCTCTTATTATCCTTGAAATCTTCTAATCTATGAAAGTTTGAATTTTTTTAGGATCCATCAAAAGGCCATCATTTGAAATAATATATCCTAAAAAATAAAATAAAATTATATAAAATATATAATTTTCTAACTTGGCATAAAATCCTATATCTTTAAGATTTTGTAATACAAAAAAAAACATCAAATTTATGTTTTTTGTGTTCTTAGAATAAAATTTTAAAAATTATAAATAAAAAATAAAAAATTAATTTCAAAATTCACTAAAAATATTATTCATTAGATGTTAAAAAATAACTAGTAAAATTGTGAGTCCAAAAGGTATGACATTATATTCAAAATGCTCATGCTTGCTTCTATCTATAAATAAGAGTTTGATTGTACTAGACTTATGAATTTTTACTTTGATATTGAAAATCTTAATTATGCTATAAAATAAATTAAAATTACAAAAAATCTAGTTTATTAAAAGATTATATTTTTTCAACAGCAACAAATCTAAAATAACTAAGTTGGAAGGAGATCTAATAATATTGGATATTACTAACTTATTATGACCATTTTCTACTACATCTATAGAAATAGTTTCATAAAATCTTTGAAAGATAAAAGATGACCATCTATAACTTCTACATACACAAGCTTAGTTTTTTTTATTAAAGATACTCTATATCTTTTAGCAAAGTTTGTATTTAAAAAATAAGGTAAAGCTCTTAAAACTAATAAGGTAGATGCTTTTTAATTTATAGATCTTAAATAAACATCTATTGAAAAAAATAAGATAGTTTTAAGAAGAGAATAGAATATTTACTACATACTACAAAAGATTCTACTTCCTTGATTTCTATTATAGTAGGACAAACTTGTTTTTCAATACATTGTCTTTTCAACAGCCATATTCTTCATTTTGTAGTTGCATTTTTTTTTTTTTAAATGTTGAGAAATATGCTTAGATTCTCAATAATATAAGCATAATCCTTCTTAATGATGTCAAATCTTTTCTTACACACTAAGAAATTTAAAACATATTATATCAATTTGTCTTCCATTCATAAAGATATATATATATATATATATATATATATATATATATATATTTTAAGAAGGCATTGATATTGTCATTGAATTATAAAGATGTTAAAGCATACTTTTGTGGCTTTAAAATTAAAATTCAAAAAGCCAATTGTCTCAACTTATAAAAAAATCAATTGCTTGACTTAATATTTGAAAATCAAATATATTTAATATTAATGTTTTTACTCAGTACTATAATCTATAGAAAAAATTATTGATAAATATAATATTATTGTATTTAATATTAGTTAAATTTTTTTAAATAATAAAGCATATAATAATATTAAACAATTAACTTGATATAAAGTAAAAATCTTGTTGATTATAATATAAATTATATCATTGTTTTCTATAAATAGATCAAAGCTTTATCAAAAATTTCTAAATTTTCTATTATTAGATCTTATTAATTAAAAAAGATAAAAGCCATGATAAAATAAATCAAAAGTAATATTCCAATAAACTTGACTTATGAACATAAAATTAAATAACTTTGAAGTTGAAATTCAATCATTAGTTATATATGATTGATAAATATTTAAAAATTTGATCTTGTATCATCAAAATTCTTAGGCAAAGCAATTTTTAGTTATTTAATAATTATAGTATTATTTGAACAATATTCTATCATAAAAAAAATAATATAATTTGGTGTAGTTATTGAAGCAACTCTAATTATTTCTATACTTTTACTTCAACCAATCTTGTTGGTTCTTGTAGTGATGAATTGAGTTGATGCATTGCAAGTATAAATTCTTTCATTTTCTTGTATATTTGTGCTATTGTACCTTTCATTTTAACAAGCTTGTAGAAACACCTTTCATTATAATACAATAGAAAAAAAATAGATGAAAAGACTCAAAAGAAAAGAAAAAATCTAAAAATAATATTAGTTAAAAAAATAAATAATCTTTAACTTCTAATATACTTATTTCTTATGAAAAAAAAAAAAAAAAAAAAAAAAAAAAAAATCTAATCTTAATCAGTAAAAGATAAAGCTTTAATATTATAAGTATATTTTTTGCCATATGTAAAGGATAAGAATTCAAAGAATATAAATAAGTAAGTAAAATATATGTCAAAGAGAGAAATACATATATAAAGGAGAAACAAGAATGACTATTGCCAAAGACAAGAAGATTAGAGACTCTTGAAATAAGACTAAGAACAAAAAAGAATTTTAAAAAAATGATGAAGACTTCAATTTTGCCTCCATATATACTATCTAATTAAAAAGCTATGTAGGAATGTTCTAAAGGTCATTTGACATGTATTTAATTTATATATGTAAATTACAAGACAAGTTTTCAACATGTGCATCATACATTCTATTTATATGACAAGTGGTCAACATATGCAACACATGGCTAACTTATTGGCCAAGTTTTCAACCTATTAATCACCTATAAACACTTGTAAAGTTAAATCTACATCTATAAAATCTTCTAAGAAGCTTCTCCACAAGATATTATCAAATATACATATACTTTTATTTACTTCTATTTAACTCCTAATATCTTAATAATTATTAGTATTTATATATTTTTGACAAAAAATTATCCAATTATCTTTGTGATAATTGATAATGTATTGCAAATATTTTTCTAATTCTTGATTCACAAATTTTATTTATCTATTAATTTAAAGATAAAAAATAGAATATAAGTTAATATCAATATTTAATATGATAAATTGCAACTTCTAAAATCTTAATATAAATTAAAGTCCTTAATTAAATATAATATCATTTGAAATTCTTGAATATTGATAAATACTATCAAATAAAAATTTAATTATTTCTTCACTTATTATAATTTTTATACAAGGTATAAAATATATTATTTAAATTAAATCCACCATCACAAAAATCAAATTTTATGAATTTAAATTTGAAGATTTTTAATAAATTCTTCTTAAATAAATAACTAAGATTGATGTAAAATTGATAGAGATTGAAGAATTTTTTTAAAATAATGATGTAAAATCTTTGTTTTGTTGCTATGAAGTTATGTTGTACTTAAACTACATGCAATAGTATTTGACATACTAAAATATATAATTTTCTTTTGTAATAGAAAAGGTTGTCATTGATATAAAAATTATTAGAATAATTTTGAAGCTTATTTTTAACATCACAACAGAGAAGTTCTATCAATATACTTGAACAAATTCCATCAAGAAAAGTATTGTCAACTAGGATTATTGACTCAATAGCTAAAAGATATAATTATTTTGAATTTCAAAGAACTCTCTATTTTTGGTTGTATATGGAATTTTTCTATATTTTTATCTTTTAATATAGGATAAGAATGCCTAACCAAAGCATTTGACAAGCCTTATAGTTTCTTAAAACAATGTGTAACATTGAATACAAATTGCAATAAAGTCATGTTGCAATAGGCTTGTAGCAATTTAAAAGACTTATTGACATAGAAAACCTAAGATTCTTACCATTGGTATAAATTGTAACTAGATAAAAAGCACCTTCCAAATAATGTCACTACTCTAAAAATGAATCCATAATTTAAAATATTCTTTGTTGTAGATCTTATAATTAACTTAAGTTACTAATAAAAAATTTAAATAAAAAATAATGGTATGAAGTCTATTATTTATATGCATTTGTGGTAGAATGACACCTAATGCAAAGTTTGATGTGTTTATTTTCATAAAAAATTGACTTAAAAATATCTAGATCGTACAAAAAACAAGAACTAAGATGAAAATTATTTTCAAAACTTAAAATGTTGTTATTTTATCTTAATTTCGCTTTAATTTGACTTTGCACATTAATTATATAAATAGAATATCAATATAAGAGATACTTTTAATAAAAAATTACTACTATTTTTTAAATTCTAAAAAATATTAGATATCATATATAATTCTTAGATATTTCTAATTCATAATAATTTGTATCTTCTTAGAATCCATTAATAAATAGTTGTTTGATATAAGAATATAATTTATTATTGAAATATTATGCTTTTATAGCATTATATCATAAAAATATAATTTTATTTAATATTTAAAATCTTCTATAACTACACCAATCATTTGAGTAAAGAAATCATTTAGACATTTTTATTTATATGTAGATTATTGTAGGCTCAAATTATTGATAATTAAGATTTTATTTTTTAGAAAATAAAATCAAATAAAATCAAATATTTAGAAGAATACATATATATCTATATATAGATTTATTCTATCAAAGTAACAAATGAAAAGAAAAATATATTTCAAACTAAGTTTAGTCTTTTTAATACAATGTTGTGCCTTTTAATTTTATAAATTCTCTAATTATTTTTAAAACTTTAAAAATATTTATATATATATATATATATATATAGAGAGAGAGAGAGAGAGAGAGAGAGAGAGAGATTTACTATATAATACTTAAATAACATTACCATATTTATTTTAACAAAATATACTATTTGTAAAAAAAGAAAAGAAGAAAAAAGAAAACCTAATTTATTGTATATATTCAAAAAATGAAATCTTGGATTTTATATAATAATTTTATTATTACTATAAAAATAAATATTTTACAGTGTAGCATGAATTTGGGTGAAGCATTCCAGAACTGTGTGGAAAAAGGTAAAAGTAAGAGAAGGGGTGGGAGTGGGAGTGGGATGGTGGATGAAGAACATGGATGAGAAGAAAGGGAACGGGCAGCGTTCGGGCAGAGGTGCGAGGAAAAGGAGCCTGTGGTTGAAGAAGAAGCAGCAGATAATAGTGTTACGGATAACCGGGACTCACTCACTCCCCAACTGCACCGACATGTCGTTCCCATAGCACCTCAATTACCGCACCTGGATTGGCCTGTCGCCTCTCCCCCTGCGGATAGACTGATAGGGCCATGGCCACCCAAAGAGGCACACCACTGCACTCCACGCTCAAGCTCTCATCCTCTGTGTCCAATTCCCTTGCTATTTTGTGCATTCGATTTGCTTGTGAGTGTGTGTGCGTGGGGTCTGGCTATGGCAGGTCTCCAGGCTGCGGCTGTATCACAGCTGAGTTGCGTCGATGCGCTCTCCGCCTCTTTCCAAGCTCTTGAGACCAAGGCGGCCCGTCCCCATGGCGTCGCGCAGGGGATGTACCCCTGCGGTGGATGTGGAGTGCGCTCCGAGATGGGGTTTGTGACGAGGAGCAGAGGTAGCATGAGGATGGTGAGGGTGAATTCTTCCGCGGAGCGTGGACCCAGTGGTGACGCAGGCAGTGCGCCTCCGTCCACCACCAAGAAGGTTAGTAGCATCCTGTGCAAGAACTGCGACGGGAACGGGGCGGTGGCGTGCTCGCAGTGCGAGGGAGGAGGCGTGAACACGGAAGACCACTTCGGTGGCCGCTTCAAGACTGGCCAAACGTGCTGGTTGTGTCGTGGGAAGCGCCAGATGCTTTGCGGGGACTGCAATGGAGCTGGGTTCATGGGAGGGTTCATGAACACGCAGGACGAGTGAGGAATGCGTTGGTTTGAGGGTTGGCGGAGATTCCGTCGCTTTGGTCCAGCTGGAGAACGCCCCTCCTTCACTATTTGCGAATTCTCCGTGGCTGTGCTAAACCTAAGTGACTAGGGTTGGGTTTTGTAGTAGTAGTTCGTGGAGCGTAGGACTTCTCACTCTTATTCGTGGTTTGATGAATTATGTAACATTTTCTATCCCCTACACTGATGTATTCTACATTCCAATGAGTCGGAAACTTAAGCTGTGAATTTCTGAATTTCTGAAGTTCGTGTATTACCAGCTGCTCATGAATGATATTGACGATGTGGTTTTATTTCGTTAAATTCAATTTCATTGCATTCGATCACATCTCTCCTTTTTCTCGTAAATAATTACAGTCGCAAGCCTTGTGGATTATTCATCTTCTTCTTCACCTAACTTTGAGGCCCAAACGTCTCAAACGAGGCATGCTACAAATTGGCTTGTGTGAGGCTTATCCATTAGTTACAAGCCAACGGAATTTGCAGTTTTGCTTGTTGCTTATATCTTCAATATGAACTTTGTCATGTCAATGTGGGCGTGATAACGATCGAAGCCCTAACCCAACACTCGTCCGACTAGGTCTTGCGGTGATTTGTCGCGCCAAAACACCGAATTTGTCAGTAGCCGGTGAGAAACTTTCTAGAAAAATCTCTTTTGACTTCCCGCAATTTCTATCGGAGCACTTCTGTCCTCTTTTCTTCGTAACTAATGTTGTATGTTGTAAATGCTTACCATGTTGCAGCAATGATTCTGATAGATTGAACGATGTTATTACCAGTATTCGTGAAAAACCGACTCAACTCGTTCAAATGGATGAGTTTCTGAATGCACTCTTAGAGAGTCGGTACGCCCGAATCATCGATTGAATCTTTCCCGTTGCCTGCCTTGCCGGGATAAGAAGAGATGACCGGTGGTGTCGCTCACTCGGGGCATCGCTCCAATTCTATCTTCAGATGAGTTTTAAGACCTGCCTCACTATCTCACTGGCTCAGATTATGTTTCGTCTTACTTCATTCAGAATCTCCAATCTTACCCTCGGAAGTCTCGAAAGTGAAGCTCTAAATCAGAATCGTGCTCTGCTGAATGCGAGTGAGATTACAATTCTTTTCTCCGGGTTCCAATTATGACTGGGTGGTACAAAATAGGTGGATTTGTTGCCATTTTAGGCAATTGTGGTGACGGTAATCTTCGTTATCGGTTGTTGAAACAGTTTATTGAATTTGATACGTATGTGATCGTAGTTTTGTTGGTGGTGTTCCTGGTTGAATCATAAAATTGTGACATGGATTAAAACTAATCGGAATTATAAGTTGTAAGGCTATTGATGTCAAGGTAACGTCTCCTTATTTATAATTAGCATATAGTTCTACCGTAAACCTATTAAAAGCTGCTTTGAAAAGTAAATTAAAGAACAAAAGAAGTGACATTCTAAGAGCATTCTGTTATGGATTACAATCACTGTCCATTTTGATGAACAACTATTTTCGTGGATTTCTCCGCTGTCACGAGAAGAATTATTATTTAATGATTGCCCACTGAGAAATGCTCATATATACACAAGCCACAATTCAAGTACCAGAATGCATTCAGAACGACGTGAAGCGCTGCCAATAAAGAAGTAGCTTCAAGAAAATGAACCCCTTACCAAATTAAGTCCGAATAAAGGGAAAAAGCAATGCTCCAAGAGACCGCAAACAGGTACCCTTCATATCATGCATTTCAAACGTCAGTTGCTGGTTACATTAGCGAATGAGGATTAGATCCAGATTTCAATACAAGAAGCCAAAGAATTAGGTCTACAAAACCAGTTGCCGTGTGTCCGTTGAGACGCAGCTAAGGAAATCTGGTGGGGCTCAAAAATGGGGCAGGAGCTGGCATCGCACTAAGTGCTCAAATGGGTCTTAGAAAGGTGCTACAAATCACCCTTCCAACCTAACCTGCTTGAACCTCCACCGAAATTTAGCAACCTCGAGAGAGGGCGACACTCTGATAAATGATCGCAGCCTCAAACAGGGAAGTCTACCTGGCCTCGAAAGAACGACTAATCGCTAGAAGTGCTGGCCTTCTCTGGAGAAGGCTTTCTACCAGTGTATCGCTGCAAGCAGAAACATCACGATTAAGAACTTCTGCGTTACTCGTGTCCCAAAAGTAACCAGATTCAAGAACACAAGGCATCTGTTCACAGCAGGGAAAGCAGCAAAGACAGCCCCATACACGTTACTACTGCAACTTCACCCGAAACCTAGAACATCAAGAATTAAGTCGTGAATAAAATTACTGCAAAGCCGATACGTTCAAAATTGCAAATGAAAACATCTCAAAGGCTGATCATAAAATGGAACATGTCGCTCGCATGACACTAAAGTTGTCAAACAGATCGTGATATACCTGCTTGCCCAATGAGAAAGGGACATATCTATATTTAATCATGTGTCGAATTTGGCGCTTCATGGTGAGGACAAAAAGGACGATCCAATATAGCAACAATATTGGCCAAAAAACGGGAACGTCGAAAATACTGAAGAATGTCAAGGTGAACGCGACAATTAACGCTTTTGTAAATGCATACCTGTAAAAGAGAAAAGCGTATCAGAGTCAGATAACATGAGTCTACAAAAATGAATTAGAGTTACGTGAGATGGCATTTTAAAACTTAGTTGCAGCCCAATCAAACACATACAAATATGATTCATAACAATCCCAGTCCTGTACCCAGAATAGAATAAATGATTGTCTTCCATAACTTTCAGGAAGAATGGATATAAGTTCATGACACCCGTTAAATCTTAACTCGTGCTTTGAGAAATTAGAGTGCACGATCTTTAGCTTTAGCAGTCAGCCACTCTGCTCACCGATTGGAGCCGAGCACTAAATTATCGGTTTCGTCATCACCCATACATCATATCAATGTGACAAAAACGAAGAACCACTGACTTGCAACGAGTTGTGAGCTCAGCATTCGATCGAGTAAAACTAATAGGTGCTCAAATAGCATGCATAAGAGACATTAAGGAGTCCAGGGAAGTCCAACAGAAGCGTTTCAGCTAACAGCACTACAGTACATGCTCTATATACCTGAAATTCATAGTCAATGTCACATTCTTGCTGCCAATACGTGGTTTAACAGTTCCTCTACATACATGCAGTAGTCGCTGCCACACTCATACCCGCATTGGACAATTTGACATATGTCCCGAAGCTCAGTCCTCGAGCAGGTCAGGACCAGCCTGACTCAACGCACCCAAGGCAATGCAGAAGCAAAAGTAAAACAATGTCTAAAATAGAAAGCACACTTCTGCCTAAAAATATGCTGAAAAATTATCACACGTACCAGAATTTAAACTCAGGGAGCCTGCGAATAAATGGCTTGAACTCATCACTACCCTTAGTCGGCAGGGCAGGGCCCTCGCTCTCCGGGTCCACTTGAGGCGATAGAAACCCTATGAGCAGATTGAGCAGGTAGATGCCGAGCCCATACGTGACAATGTAAAAACCTTTCACGTAATAAGCGCGCAAGCAGTAGATTGCCGCCACGACGAGTGTGGCAACCCAGCGCATTCCGGCATGCGGCGTCGACTTATCCAAATAGTATTGAAACCGGCGCCCCATCTGGTTTCTCCATTTCAACAACGCATTGGACGAAGCATCTCCCTCCTCGCCATACACGGCATCCATCCCTGCCACTTCCAAATCCTACTACTCCCTACCCTAACCAAAACCTCCGTTCCGTATATTCTCCCTCCCCGTCCTCCCCCTCCTCCTTCTCCCACTGCCTCCCCTTCACTCAATCCCACGCGCTGGTTACCACTCTCTCCCGACCCCAAAGCCTAGGGTTTCTAACCTCACCTTACTCCAACAATCTCCGCACATCGTTTTCAGACCGATAGATTTTCAAATTCTGCTACACCACAGCTTCTATCAGTAAACCCAACGCGCACCGAATACACCGTGGTGCGGGAGTCGGTAGACAGGCAATGGCAAAAGACACGTCAAATCATCGCCACAGCCAGCGACGAAGGCAAGCAAAGCAAAGCAAGCTCCCACGCAAAATGGAGCTGCTCTCTCGCCTCACCGTGGCCTGGGAGCACGCTCCCTCTCCCCTGTTCCCGCGTGCCCTCACAGCGTTCGCAACCGGGAACTCTACGTTCCCAAGATATTCCGATTCGCATCTTTTCCTTCTTCATCCTCCCCCATCCTCTTTACCCTTTTTCATCCTCTTCATCCCTTTTTATTTTGGAGCAGCTAATGAAGCGAACTGAATAACATGATTGGAGGGCAAGGGCCCACCCAAATAAGATTTCTTATTAAACTAGTATGATAGTTTATTAGAGTGTTTTTTTCATTAAAGGACTTGGTATCAAAGTAATTCTATCATCTTTTGCAAATGATTTCCATATTTTTGCTCAATTCAAAATGATCTTCTTCAATATCATAACATACTGTAACTTAATTTGCTAGTGTGCTTGTTACAGAAAGTCTGCATGAGAATCTTAAAATAAGTATCAATGATTTGCATGTATAAATTTGTATTTGTCTTTAGTGAATGAATTCAAGTGATGGTAAAATGGAAAATGGTTTTGTCATTGTTCAATTATATGTTTTTGCTCAATTCAAGATGATATTTGAACATATATAATATACAATATTTGATACAAATATATGTTCAATACAATGTTCAATACAAATATATGTTCAAATATTTGTATCAAACATTGGCAACATGTTGAGAATGAATAGATGCGTTGAAGTTTTGATAAAGTTCATTCCAACCATTGATTCAATGGGTCAATTTGCTAATATATTCATGGAGGGTAGCAAGTTGTGGTGGCATTAGCAATACCCTCCATGAGTATACCAGCCAATTGACCCATTGAATCAGTCGTTGGAATGAATTTTGTCAAAACTTCAACGTATCTATTCACTCTAAACATGTTGCCACCATGAAAACCATAATTTTAGACAGCGGTCAACCTCTCCTTTACCCACTCCTCATAATGAGAGTAAACACTTGATTTACAATTGAAGTAAAGGAGAGGTTGATTGCCGTCTAAAATTACATCACGTTGGCTTATTAATAGGCTTGTGAAAACATATACATTACATAAAGTAACTCATACTTTTACAAGTAATTATTATTTTTTAAATCAATTGGTTCCAAATCACAAATGAATATTTTTTAACTGATATTTTAAAGAATGGTATTTTATATATCCAAAAATAATATTTGTATATAATGTATTTTGAAGTTAAATTTTCTTATTTGTTCAAGAGTTTAGATTTTAATTATATTAATACAACTAAATGTATGATTTGAAATGCCTTTGTAAATGATTGAATTATTTTATTATCTTTGACCAAAATTAAGACTGATGTATGTTCAATCTTGATATTATTGCAAAAAGAGTTAGACAACTTTACATCTTTGACACATTTAAATATAAATATAAGCTTGTCAATGTTGCTAAAAGACACAAGCATCTTTACATTTTTGTTAAAATTTTAATAAATAAATTCTCAAGTATTATATCATTAACAACAAAGTAGAAGAACATAAATATTTAAAGTATTTTATTACATGCTTTTATTCAAGTATAAAAAATAAGATTTTTTTAACATTTTAAAATCAAAACAAAATAAATTAAAATAAAAATTTTGTATCATAAATGTATGGTTACATGAGAGTTTTGATGTTTGAACAAGATGCCATTTACTCAAGTAGATCACTGAAGCCAATGAAGCTCCATAATAAGGATCACTGCATTGAATCTTACAAAGCTTGGCCCCAACACCCACAAGCCACTGCTATGCCAAACCTAGTTGCAGATTTTATAGATACTTGAATGCATGTAATTGCTTCACAGTCTACGACTTGACAACAAATGTGGCCTCAATGACTAGGTGAAGACATGTGACAAATGGCCAATCCAACAGTATTATTAATGTTTATGTTTTTGAAAATTTAAAGAAGTATATGCCATTGCTAATTGTTTATGTACAATTGTGTGTGTGTGTGTGTGCTTCAATGCTTTAGAATAGGATTCACATGTGTTGGGCTGTGTAGTTCCACATGATAGTATACATTTTGAATAGTATCATATCTTCTTAATTCTTAGTCATACTTTAACAAAAACATTCAAATAGTTTATTTCTTCTTTTTTAGGGCATCTTCTTTTATTTTAAATTTTTTAAGTCATCAATTCTTTCACATATTTAATCAAATTATTATTTATATATTTTAATATATATCTACAATAAGATACTTAAGATCTTCTTTGCGGTTAGTAAACAAAGTTTATATGTTGCAAGCATCAGTTTTGTAAATTATTTTTGCACTAGAATTGCAACACTCTTTCTTATTGTAAATATTGTCATGAATAAAAAAATTATAAAATGTTATAAAATTCTACAATAAATTAGAAAAATAAATAAATAAATATAAAAGCGTATAATTATTATAAAAAAATTTAGTGAAAAAAATTTAAAACTTCTAAAGCAATTTGAATCTAGTCATATTAAAAAGATAGTGAATTTATGTACAAATAAAAAAATACACGAAAAATTAAGAAATGATATATTATAAATTAGAAATATGCTTATATTTTCATTATAAAGTACAAAGAAATTAGAGACTCCTAAATTAAATCTAAAATATAAAAAATACATTGTTACATTCAATAATGGCTTCAATCTTGTTTATATATATATAATAGCTAAAAAGAGGACGAATTTAAATTTGCTTAAAGACCATAAGGTTTCAAAGTCAATTTTTTAAATTTCTAGATATTTTTGTTATGGCTTTATAAAAGTTAAAATATTCTAAAATATATTCATTATATCTTCATGGCACATTAACAAATTTTATCATTGTTCAAAAAGTTTTTAAATATTACTAAGAGAAGATATTATCTATTTAATTTATTTCTACTTAAGTAATATAGGTATTGTTGACAAAAATATTCTACTACTTAGATATGTATTTTTTTAATTTCTTATGATTCTTTAAAAACATCTATATAATTTGTTGTCAAATCACATATATATATATATATATATATATACATATAATAATTATTAATTTTTTTTATTCATATATAAAACTATTTTGATTTTATTTTAGTTTTTATTTTAGTTTTTTTTTTCAAGATAAGTTATACAAGCTTATTTTTAAAAATAATAATACCTATTAATATCTTTAATTAACTTTAGATTTGTTTTGCAAGTAACATCATATAAGTTTTTAAAATTGATTGCATAATATACTTTTGATTATTTAAATTTTATTCAAATTTAATATGTATTTGGTTAATATTCTACCTTTTTATTTCTAATTCTTTTAAGTTATTATAATTATTTTTCATCTTCTAATATAATAAACTTGATATTTTAGAATTAAAAGAATGATAATTACTTATTCTTCTATTCTTTATTATGTATGTTCTTTAAGCCTTGGTGGTTACATTAAATCTTTTTTGTGCCATATTTGTATTTTAAAAGAATTTATTTAAAATACAAATACAATATTTTTAATTTTTTTTATGAATTCACTTTATGCTTTTAAAAATATGATTTTTAAAAAATACCAACAATTTAGGCATTGAAGCATTTTAAATACTTATATTTCTCAAAAACTTATAGAATATTTTCAAGATATATTATATATACTAAAATATAGATTTATAACATCAAAAAAGTAAATATCTTAAATATTTCAAATATGTATGCTCATAATTTGGACAACTTTATATAATAATAAATATATTTATAAATAAATATCATATAAATATCATATAAATATCATATAAATTCATTTCACATTTCTTTTAAAATTTTACATAATTGGGTGAAATGTGAAAAAATAATGCACAAGAAAGTGCAAAGAAAAATGGTTTACAAGAAAGAAAGAACCAATGAGGTGATAGTGAATTGGCATAATTCTTGAACCGCAACTCTGTACTCTATTGGGGAAATAAAATATGCCTCTAATAATGATGGACTTTGTAGATGAAATATTGTTCATTATTCCACTGGTCCAAACAAAGGAACTTTGTTGAAGAATATTTCATATTGTGTTGCTTTGTGGTGATTGCTACATATGAACTGAGGATCTAATAGCATTTGTATTATGTCTTACACATAAAATAAAAGATATTTTTTCTAACAAGTTCAAGACATGTTTCAAAAAATAAATATATAAATATACAGTCATAGTTTACAAGGAAGGTGTATTTGATATAGCACTTCAAATATGTATAGCATTTAAACTATTGTGTTTTAGATTTAGAATAAAGATGTATTAATCTATGACTGTATGTGTCATGTTGTGCACTTGCAATAAAGGTGTATAAAGATGTTTTTTGGCAAGTCATATTTTTGTATTAGTAAATAGTGCATTTACTGAAATATTGACTAGCTTGTAATTGAGTGGGCGTAATTCAAGGCTTTGCAATTATAATTGGTATTACAAGTTTAGTGAGGCTCTGCTAGCAATATTAATATTTTCTATGGTAAATTACAAAAGTACTAAAAATCTTATGTAACTTAAATTTTTTAGGTTATATATATATATATATATAATTTTTATTTTAATTTACATTAAATAAATATATCTAAAAAATTTAAAGTACTTAAAAGAGATTATGTATTTTTATTTTATCTTTTTTTCCATATTAAAATCTATTTTTACTTGGTTACATATTTAAGTGGTTCAATACTATCATTCATGTATAGAGTTGATTTCTTATATATATGTAATTTATTTATGTATATCTTTTAATTTATGTCGTGATTTTTATTTTTAACTTTATTTTTTCATTGAAAAATTATAATGCTTTTTATGTGTTCTAATAAAAAAATTATAAAAAAGATCAAAAGAAAATATTTTTAAAAAATCTATTCTTGTATTACTTTTATATTCTATATTTTTAAACATGTATATTAATGTGCTATAGAACAGACATATACAATATGATATTTAATATATATATATATATATATATATGCTTATTTAAATTTATTTAATTATTGAAAATAAAATTAGAGTTATATGTGCAATGATTTCTATATCTATCTTATTATCATATCTTATGTTCTAAATTATATGCTTTTATTCTAATATTATGAGATTTTTTTACTTATTACATATTGCATTTAATTTGGATGCTTTTATAATAAAAATTAAAAAAAAAAACTTTTAGATTCTTTTTGACATAAAATTCATATTAAAAATATATATAGTTTTTTTGGATTAATAGACATAGTTGATTGTACTTATATTATAGTACCATATAAATTCACATGACTTAATGAAGATTACTAATATCAAATATGATTTTATATTACAATTTCTATGATTGTATAGGATAATGTTAGAAAAATCTTGTATATATCATACTTTATTTAAGATCAATGCATAATAGCATAGTCTTTATAGCATAGTCTTAATTTATACTAAATTATGAAAATAATCTTTATAATACTTTTATAGAAATAAATACTACTCTATATATATATATATATATATATATATATTATTATTATCTATTATAATTGGATCATATAAACATTCACATTCTCTAAGATTAATAAATAATCATATCAACATTTCTTATTTATTAATGTAAATTAAAATTAAACATTATGTAGGTGAGTTTAATGGATTATTTTAAAGACTATAATGTTTATGTATCTAACTCTACAATAGAATAGATGAGTTTAAATAATCTTTAAAAGAATTAAATTGCAATTATTTTGTTTTTATTTGAAAACCTTTGAAAGTGACTTTATACACACACACACACACACATATATATATATATATATATATATATATATCTTAAATATTCAACATTAAAATATAAAACATTATGTAACACATACTACTTTTTTACATCACATGATTTTAAACATGTAAAAATTGGATACATATTTGTACATACGCAACAATACTTTAGCAATTTTCTAGTCACAAAGAAGACTTATAAATATGACTTTGTTAGCAATAAATTACTATCCTTATAAATGTGACCAAAAACAATGTTGCTATCTACAATGTTGTTATTTATAAAGTAGTGATTTGAGGAGTTATAAGATAGCATCTTTTAAGCAATTAACATATTCATCATAAATTACTACCTTTGATACTTGAGCTTTATTATAGACATAGATGATAGAATACAAATATTTATAGAAAATCTATCATTTCTATAGTTCTACTATATTGAAATGTATGACTTTAATAAAAATAGACATTATAATGAAGACAAGGAAGTGTATAAGAAAAAAATTCTCATAAAAAGTATAATAGATATGATTTAAAGATAAGGTCATATAATTTTTTTGGATCTTTGGGACATAAATCCATAGAGCTATTAATGATTTTAATTAATAAGACAACTAAGTATGCAAAAGTACAATCATTGAGTAAATTTGTTAATTTATTAGGATGAAATTTTATTAAAAAAATCTTCAAAAAGAATAAGATGGGAAACAACATTAATAATAATGTCAAAAAAACATGAAAAGCACACAAATATAAATACATATATCCAAAGTCATTAATCTTTTGTATCTTCTTCTTCTTACATAATATAACAAATTCATGAGTATTAAATCTTAAGATATGTAAACCTCCAAATGATTCTACTATTCAGTACTTTGTCCAACAATCAATTAAAATAATGTAATCTAATTGAGTTGATACCACCACTCTTCATACAAGAATATATAAATATAAAGGGAAATTATTACACACAAGTAATTTTAGAAGTTTAGTAGAATTTTATGCAAGTATTGAGTCTCATAATGATAATTTTCAAGGTTTGCAATATAATCTTCTCAATTTTATCAGTTTCTTACATAAGTAAAAAAATTCAAAGTAGAGACCATCTATGACATAATTTTTTGAAGCTAAATATTTGATAGATTAGCTAATCTAAGTTGTTGTAATACATGTCATCTTGTTTGAGAATGCATTGAGTGCCTAGTTGTGGGAGGTAAATTGTATTTGCAACAAACAAAGAACCTAACAATCTTATTAATATTTTTTTAAACTAACTTCAATTAAATCTTAAAATTTTATGTCAAATCTTAATCAAATTCTAATGAGATTTAAAGAAATCACAAAAAAATTATTAGATTAGTCATTAAAAAAATAAAAAATAAAGAACATTAAAAAAATCCTAAAGAAATTTTAAAAAATATATTCTAAAAAAAATCATAAATAAATCTCAAAGAATTTATAAGAAAATCCTAAAAAATCCTAATAAAATCTTCAGTAAATCATAATTAAATCCTAAATAAATCCTAATAATCTTCACAAAATTCTAAAAAAATCTTAATAAAGCCTAAATAAATTCTAACCAAAATATGACCAATTCTAACTAACTCTAAAGTATTCTTAAAACCTCAATAACTATTGACTAAAACATTGACCTAACTTAATATTATGCACAAATTGCAATTCAATGTTATTAAATTATTCACTTGCACTTAAAATTTCTAATTTTTTTGAAAATTAAGTTCATTCTTTGTTTCCAAAAAAATTCGTCAATTCAATAGATTATCTAAAATCAAAGAAATCCTTATTGAATCTTGAAATCTTTTTTTAAAATCTTAATTTAATTTTAATTTAATAATCATTAATCTAAATATTTAATTAAATTTAAATTAAAAAAATTAAAAAATAGACATGTAAGTCTATAAATATTCATCTAAAAATATACAAGAATGCTTACAAAATTTGTAAACATATAAACTTTGTTTTGTTTCTTAAAATCCCAAATCACTTACAACATTGATCTCTTTGAAAAATTCTCAAAAATTTAATATTAATCTAAATCACTTAAAATTAATGCTTAACCAAATCTTAATAAGTCTTCTTTCTAATCTTGCTTGTCAATCAATAATAGAATCCCGAAATCGCTGTAGATGCATGATTTTGTGCCTTAAGTTCTAATTTCAATCCTAATTCAAAACTGGTCTTCTTTAGATATCAATTTTTGGCTTTAAAAAAAAAAAATACTAGAAACTATTCTTAACTCCCTCCTAAAGATGCCTATATTTTATTTTTTTCTAATATAATTTTTTTTGTCTTGTTTATAGTCCTATAAAGTAAATAGAAGTTATTTTTATTTTTATTTTTTTTAAACAAGAATGCAACATTAATACTTAATGTATTTATTACCTTCCTAATTTTTACTTATATCTTTCCAAAGTGTAGGTCAGATTTTTTTTTCTTTTGCCTTATGGTTGTTTTTTAATACAACAATGTTTAATTTAAATCTTAAATTTATTTTAGTTTAATGGTGTATACTTTAAATGTTGACATATAAATTATATGAGGTTTTGCACATCATTAAGAGGTGGTGAATTGTCAACATTCTAACCTCTAAGCTTAAAATTATGATAGCTATTATGATAAAAGATTTACTATATTGTCATCATTTTTTTAATTTGAAGTACTTAAATTGACAATTTGTATTTGGTTCTCCAATTGCAATCAACAAGTATTAGCAATTACCACATCAATACATAATGTTGCTACCACCAATCACATATATTATAAAAAATAACAATATCAAAATTATAAAATTCAAAAACATTGTTTAAACTAACTTCTAATAATTACGCCATTAGTAAAAACAATTGATGTTATTGTAGCATTTATAGTCAATTTTATTTGCACCACTTTCAAAGCCAACAATCAATATATAGAAATAATAAACCAAAATACAATGCAATGGCAAACGAAAAATTAAAAGGATACTAAAGTGGGAACCCACTTGACAAACATAATAGATAATAAAATTGAACAACGCAAGACAAAAGTGACACAAAAGTGATTACAATAAAATCTATTATTTTTACACAAACATGGGCAAGATTGTGATTTATCTTTCTCAAGATTGTGATTTATCTTACCTATTCTAAATTTTAATATTTTCTAATTTTTTCTAGGTTGTCTCTCTGCCATTGACTAGATCTTCATAAATTTTTCTCCCGTCAACCCTAAAGTCTTTGAACAACTACACATGAGCAACATGACCTTGGGTTCCATAATTGACACCGCGTCATTCTCCTTCAGAACAAACCCACCTCCATCACAAAACACTGTGTGAAAGGTACTTTATTGGAACCGGTTCCCGTGCCGAGAAACGCGTGCGGGTCCACAACCCTGAGGCGGGAGCTCGACGCCGGCTCACATTTCGGAGAATCGATGTTGGGCAGATCGCCGTGAAGCTTCCGGGCACTGTCGATAGAAGCTCACCCCACCCCACACTTTGTTGCACAATCCTCACTGCAGCCTCGGCTCTGCCTTGGTCGCGGGCTTCGCACACTTCGCTCCTCTCATAATATAAGGGCTGGAGCTGGACTGCGTAATTGTCAGACAACGATCACGTGTCATCGCCGTCGGACTCCAGTCTGCTCAATTTCTCAATCGATCGTCATTCGAACATACCAGGATTTTACTCTCGAAGCGATTCATGTTGTACTTTGATTGACTGCTTAGAGGTTTGGGTCTGCAACCTCTACTGTTGAACCTCTACCGTCCATAGCTGGTGGTTATTGCTCTGATGGTCGAGGAATTGAGATTGATTGCAAGTCAACCTGTTCCGCCGGGAACTCTGTGCCGATGTTCTGCAGTGGTGAGGCGTATAGGAAAGGATCATGCAATTCGCCGTTCGTGGACATCTTTGTTCTCCCTACTGTAGCGCTAAAACAGTTGAAGTTCTTATAGCTTCGTGGTTCCATTCTTCGTTTTGGAATGAAAGGTGCCGTCATCAACCTTCTGGCGTGACCTCTGAAGTCTACAAAAGAAGCTCGAAGTAGATTGTTTCAATTTTCCTCTTGATTGAATGTTACTCGTCCTGGACCTCGACTTAATTGGGTGGTCAGGAGAATTGTAGACTATACAGTGCAACTCTGCAGTATTGGAGATAAAGAATTCATTGCAGTCAGTTGAAGTCGAGTGTTTGAATCGGGGTCACTGCGAACCTGGGCACATGAGGCCTCTGTAATTGGCACGTTGTCGCTGATGCCCTTGATATTGTGCTGTTGCTTGACCACAGCCACCTTTGTAGAGATTGACTGCCTGTGCAGCCTCTGTTGACGTGTCTTTCAATTTCATCCAGCTTTGATGGCGTCGAATGTGGGCCCATCTGGTACGGTGCCAGTGTCGACCCTCGATGTTGGACCATTATCTTGTCGTCTTCTGGTCTTTCTTCTTCTTCTGCCCTTACACTTTAAGCACAGTACCAAAAGCAGGGTCTAAGTGACTCGTGTGCTTGAGTCACTCTGTTCCCTTTTATAACTTGGAAGCATGTCGGTGGTTGTTTTTCGCAATTCGTGCAAGCTCTTGATGTTATTTCTGTGAGGGCAAATTCTGTAGTTGCTCCGAATGTTTTCTTTGCTCTGAGTTTTCTAGCTCCAGAGTGTGCGTACACTCACTAACGTGTGCGGATTTCGTCCCCTCCCAGATGTACTTGAAGTCAGAATCTATTTTCTTGTTCTATTCGTCTTTTGATGGAAATTTGTGGACGACTTTGCTTTATTGCAGCACACTAGTTCTTTGGCTTCTAGGGGCAAGTAACTTTGTTTCAATCGTCGTCCGCGTTCTTCACTGAGTGGTTAATGTGATTACATTCGTGAATGCAGAACTTTGCCGCGTTCCGCAGTTGACACACAGCTGGGCAGTTATTTTATAAAACCCACTATTGTTGCAGATATGGGGTTGGATGCTGGGCTGATTGTGCAGAAGACGCAGAGGAAGCTAAGGCTACTTGGCTTGCATGGCTTTCGGACAAGTGGAGATATCCTTCAGCGCCAACTTTCAAAGTGGGACCCTTCTTTGCATGATCTAATCGATGTGGTATGCTCCTACGCACATTACTATTATGTTCCAGTTGAAGTTTCTTTTTTCTTTTTTCTTTTTTTCAAACTTAAGATATCCCAGTAGAATACAAATTATCTTATCCATTCTAGTGTGTTGGTTATGGGTTCAAAGGATTGCATCGATGCTCCTCTTCCCTCCGTTGGGAAATCGGACGTAGAGGGCATCTTCGAGGGCCCTTACTACGAATGGTTTAGATTTAACAAGGTGAGATGAACTTCTATACTGCCCTATTCATACCAAAAGAAACATGGGTGTAATCTATTGTGTCATCGTCAAGGTCTTTATTATTCGATCTGTGTGATGAGGCCAGAAAGATGTGATGGCTTGAACATTACCTAATGGTTGGCCTTGCTTGGTTTATCCAGGATTTCACTGAGTTTTATTACATGGATGAGATGTTCTCTTACATTACGGATTACATGAAGTTGCACGGACCGTACGATGGTTTGATAGGTTTCTCTCAGGTGCGTTGCCGTGAGCCCGTTTTTTTCTGTGTTATTTTGTTTATTTTTATACTGTGTCCGCGAATACTGAAGTCTACTTTAGGTTAGCAGGCGTTAATTTTCTCAAGATGACCTCTCGCATTTATGCTACACTCGCATTATCTGTTTTTACTAATGTCATCTTAACGTCCCTATTCAAGCAGGGAGCGATTATTTCTGGATGCATTGCTGGACTTCAAGAAAAGGTAAATATCTGATCCTGTAGGTCAGTTTGCCCACGACCTTCCAGGCTTCTAAGCATGTGTCGACTAGGCTCAGCATTTGTTCCAGAGTAGTTTTTTGTGAGTGTCACAGACGGTATACACTATGCGTCGTGACGTAGTCTATGTTCTTCAACACCTTCCAAACCGTGTTGGTGCAGGGGCTAGCGCTACAAGATGTGCCACCCATTCGATTAGTCGTCCTTGTGGCTCCTGCTCAACTCCGAGCGCCGCATTTGAAAATCGTATACGAAGAACCCACTATCAAGTGCCCCACATTGGCATTTCTTGGTACACAATCTGACTATTAACCAAAGACTGGTTTGAATACCAAAGTGTGTTAGTCTACAATCTTCTAACAGCTAGTGGTGATCAGTACATTAGTTCAAAAACCGTAATTTATTTTTTGTTGCGAGACTGTGGTATGATATGAGCAGTGAAGGGTATAATATGAGATACTCTGGCAACAAAAAACTAATAACGTGCCATTTTTCGTATTTGAAGCATCTCAATTTCAACGCGTTGATGTGTGCTGCAGGAGACAAGGACTGGTTGAGATCTGCTGGCTTGGACGCGCTTAAGTCATTTGCAAACTGCACAATCATCAACCATCGTCATGGTCACACGGTTCCTAGATTAGGTGTGCTCATCCTTCCGCAGAAGAGTTCTCTATAATTTCTCCTTTTGTTTTATGCTACACCTCAAAACAACAGGCCAAGAGTAAATATAATTCCAGAAAACGGTCACGAAGGGTACATGAAAGCTGATTTGTTCCTTGCTTTGCTCAACAGATGAAGCAGAGACTGCAACCGCAGCCCGATTCTTGAAGTCACAACTCGCTGCTATCGATGCGATGCCCCAAGATCAAGTGAAAGATTCATATCTGACCTTCACAGCTGTGCACAACATTGTAGATTCCAAAGTACACATCAACCCACGCAATGAAGACATTTACGCCACACCTTGATCAAAAGTAGTGCAGTACAAGAACATATGTACGATACTTCCCTTGTCACTCTCACTGTGACCCATTGCAGGGGCACGAACAGGTGATACGTTGTATCAAAAAAATTGGAATCTAGAATGTAGAACCAAATTTTTACAGCATCCCTTAGTACCTGTAGCATACAATTTATCGCTGCAGGTTTAGAAGTAGTGTCAAATTCGATGCAATTTTTTACGTGCAAAATGTGGGGCTTTACAGAGTGAAGTATGTCAGAGCACTGAATCACTTCGTTTGCTTCGCCCCGCTCTTCAAGAACTCATTGCATAGTTTTGCATTGGTTAAGGTGAAGGGACACATGAATAAACACGGTCTGGGACTTCTACCTCTACTTGCATCATTCTCTCGCCTTGTTGGGGTGTCTGTGTTGAGTAATCAATAGGAGAGCTTGATCTTACAACCCTCCAAACCTGTCTTCGGAGTTACTTGAGATTTCTCAACGAGTTGCCGAAAAAGCTTCTCCAAATATAGCTTATCAAACAGCTCGATAGACCATCAAGCCTCCGTCTTCAAATGCCTTGGGATGAGTGACAATGATTGGTCATGTGCTGTGCGTTGAATCATCGCAAGCTCAGACATCATTGGCTGGAGCAGAATGATGTGGTGCACTTTGTGAAAACACTGAGAGTGATGTCATGCTGTGACTTGCGTGATGTATTCTACACTACGTTTAAGACAACGTGAATAATTTACAGCCTTAGTAACATTTCGCTACTTGGCAGCGACCACCGTTCCCTATCCGGCCCTCGCATGCATCAAGGTCCAGCCATCCGTCGGGAAACTCGTCCGCATAGGTTTCCACAGTGTCATTCACATTCGAAACATTCATCCACCGAGAGTAATGGCATTGCAGACCGGCAGCATGTCTGTCTTGCAAAAGCGTCTCACTGACAAGCGCATCCCGCGCTTTCAGATCCATACTCTCTGCGTTCCAGACTTTTCCCAAAATCTCAGCGGCTTGACGTTTAGCCAGCCGCATCCGAAAGACCGCAAGGCTCCAGGTGGACTGTCCGCTGCCAAGGAACACATTTGAGCGCACGCAGATTTCCTGTTCAACCAGCGCTATTTGTTGGCCATTGATCTGCGGCAATGGAAAGAAAGATCGCATAAGAAAAAAAAACAAAAAAACAAAACAAAACAAAACAAAACAAAAAAACAAACAAACAATCAAATGGGGCGGATTGAGTATGAGCTAAATTATCAAATCTCATTATATCGTAATCGGAAAGAATCACACATACCACATGTTTCCTTCCCATTGTGACGTAGGGATCGTAGTACGTTCCGTCGGCGAAGTTCGGCAGGCCGGGAATGCTCCACAGTCCGATAACGTTGAGCCCCCCCTTCCGCAACAATAGAATAGACTGCACGGAAGCATTAAGACCCTTGTGCTGTTCAGTTCTCAAAATCCTATGTGCGACAAATCAAGCAGAGCACAATGGCGATAAGGTGAGAAGTAGTGACTCTCCACTCCCCTCACCTCTTTGATGAGGGCAAGACCTTCAGGTCCACGCGTCCAGCCGTCTGTGGCGAGGTAAACCGTATTGATGCTGTGGTTAGCAGCGCGCTGTTCAATAGTAGCAATGATATCCAATTTGCTGAGACCCACACCTCTGAAATGTCCGGCGGTGTTGCACTCATCTTCCGACATCTTCACCCATTCCTTGGCGAAAGGGTGAAAGTTAGTGTCGATAATGGACCCGTCTTTGCAGCGGGAGAAGCAGAGCCCGATTTGGTGCCTTGGGCAACTCGATTCTTCGAACCTCCAATGTACTGCAGCACCACGATGCACAGATGCTTCACCGTGGTGAGAAAATCCTGCCATATCTCGACGACAAACAAAAACGAGAAAAAAAGAAAGAAAAGATCCATGCGACGTTTACGACTTTTCATCAGAACTAGTTAATTAGAAAATGTAATGCACCTGCTAGATAAGGAACGCCCTTCCCAATGGCATGGTTTTGCAGAATGTTTACGACTTCGAATATTCGTGGAGAAGGCTGCAGAAACGCAGAAACGGATAGAAACGCCCCTCTCCACCGCAACCCAGGAAACAAGCCAGAAAGTCCGACGCATTTATCCTCCAAATTTCCGAGAGCGGTGTTGATATCGTTTGTTGATTGCCACTTTACGTGACTCCAGTGCAGATTCAACGACTCCTGTGACACATAGCAGCAGAGAGTCAATATTACGCATGTCGAGAATTCTTCTGCGTAAAGCGTGAGGGTGACAAGATCCCAGGAAGCAAACGAACGAAAGTGCTCACATTTGCAAACTTGTAGTACTTGAAACCCCGAATCAATGGTTCGTGAGTCTCCTTCAAAAACACGTTAGAATCGAGCGTATAATTACACTGTTGCAAGCACTGTTCCAGCGATGCAACTTTTGTAAAGCGAGCGAGGGACAAGACATTATATCGATCCTCCCATGCCAATCCTCCCCTTGCGCGCACTAAAATCCCTGCAAACACACGATCGACTTGAGTAACTTCGTCATTAACCAGTTTCTCGTTCAACAGTGTGACGGTTGTGCACACTAAATTAATTCTATTATTCCCCAAACGAATCGGGTTGGTCATTACCACTGTGCTTGGCAGGCCCTGAGAAGAAGGGAGGGAGGCAGAGAGTTCGATTAGTAGCTCTCGCCATCACTGCAGCCGACATGTACTCCATCAGCTGGTTGCCAGCTCCCACCGATGCAGTCAGCAGCGGAGAGAAGAATTTCTCGTTTTCATCGAATTCAGATCCAGGTGGTTGCGCCTCAGGAGCAGGCGAGGGAGCTGCAGCTGGTGATGGACCATCGCTGAAGCGATTTGAAATGTTCTCTGAAGGGGGAAAATCAGCAGGGGGATTTGAAGGTGGTTTTGCGTCGTCGTCGTCCATGACAAAGATTGCAACAGGGCGAGAGTACGTGCTCAACGACGGGTCTTTGCCGTATCCAACTACATTGAAGACCAAGGAACTGAAGCCGAACTGATCCTCCCACAACAATGATAAGGTTAGCAAAGACACCATGGTCACCACCGAGAAGACACCTAACACAACCTTCATATGATCCGGTAAAGAATCCAAACATCGCCATGACTTGGCCATTCTCGATCGCTTTCGTGCCTACACAGAGGAGGTCGATCCTGTAGTTTCCTCGACCGATGTACTATCCTCACATTGTGGCCAATTCCCAACTGTTAACTCCGATCTCACACTTTTTTCCAATCCCACCGGTGTTCGCAATCTGTGGAACCAATGTGGTTCGTACTGTAAATAGACTGGCCAAACTGGTTTCTAGATCTTGACCTGCATAACCGGAAGTGAGTGATGGCCCTGGAGTACTAAATCGTAAGATTGCAAAACCCAAAGATATTCAAACCTCACAAGCTAGCCTAACCTATATTCCATGGAGGGAGCGGTCTGAGCGGATTCAACACACGGACTTGATTCGCTCCCCAGCTTCTTCCTCGTCTTTATGACACATCCGAACCGCCACCTCCATTCTCAGTGTCCATTCATCTTCAAGGAAGGGGAAGTTCACTTCCTCGGCGCTGAGAGTGATGTGCTCTGCTACCAGTTTTATTAGAGGAAAATACGTGACATGGTACTGTCGATTTGGGCTTTAATTAAAAAAGCACAAGTCCACACAGCTCAAGAATTACTATTTCGTCCTTGAATAATAGATAAAATAAACTACACGGTTGAAGACCACACTTGAATGGTTGCAATGGCCGCGGGTTTGGTTAGTCAATGAAAGAACTAAATATTGATAGTAGGAGGTCTTCGAGGCACAATAGTCAACCACGCTCAATTTTTGAACATGGCAAGTTAGTTGGCACAGCATTTGCTCACCTATTTCTGGCTTCGTAGGCAGTGTGAAGCAGTTGATTCATGGATATTATAGACAGAATCGCATGTAACCGCATACGAAGTGTGGTGGTTCATCACGTCAGAAACTTCTACCAATGGAGAAAGTCGCTGGACTGGCCGCCGATTTTCTATTTGTTTCAGAGACCACCTTGGTGGGACATCACTGCGTTTATTCCTTGAAGAACAGGAATACTACCAGGATCCCTGGATCAATGCATTCATCATGAGGTACACAAGATCTCCTTGCGCAAGTCTTATTTTAGTACTGAATGGTACGACGTCACTGACACATTGTTGCTCCACCTACTCCTCTTCGTAAGCTTGACGTTGCACATGATCGTCTGTGGGAAGAGATGGCAGTAGCAGCGGGACACAGAGGATGGACGACACTGGGATGAAATTTAGCCACTTACCCCTTGTTGAGATCATTAAATGTAGCCGGCGCTCTCCATAATATTTATTGTAGACTACAGTAATTACCATAGCTACAGTATTTAGAGTCTAGTGGAGAAGTACTGTTTATCTTCTCCTCTTTTCTCTTCTTGTATACGAGACACAACTAGATCAATAGATTTTTGAGTAAGAAGCTCTCTCTCCTTAGAAACCCTCTTGTGTGTATGACTTACTACTACTCTTGTGTGTGTGTATGACTTACTACTACTCTTGTGTGTGTGTATGACTTACTATTACTCTTGTGTCTTTCTAAACATTCTCAACATGTTATTAGCACGACTCTCTTCTACACACTATCACAATTTTTTTTGCTCTAGTCTTTACTATTCTTGCTCAGTGTTTGCGTCATGATCTTGTTTTTCTTGCTGGCCCCTCACACATTAGCTACTTGCTTAGAGCACTTGTTCCACTCTCTACCTTGTTTGCTCTGAATACTTGATCCAGCCCAATTCCACCCTCTGCTTGTTCCCTGCTCCCTGTTGCGCCATGTGCCTGCCGCCGAACCCGGCGCTGCTACCCTATCGCCGCTGACGCTACTGCCCACCACCGTCACTGTCTTAACGCCGCTACTGCTGCCGCTACCATCCGCTGCTACTGTCCGCCATTGCCCGCTGTTGCCACCCTACCACCCTACCGCTGCTTGCTGCCGCCATATTATTGCTATTCTACTACCTTAATCTACAACTTTCTCCAGAAAAAAAAATATATATATATATATATATATTTTTATTTTTTCAAGGTTCAAGTTTATCATTTTATTTGACTTTATATTTTAAGGTACGTTTTACTCAACTTTTCTACTTGATCTTGTATTTTTTTTTACAAATTTATTTATAATAAGTGCTTCAACATCTTCAACTGCTTCTACTATGGTTTCAACTATTACCAATGCATCCCAACATTTTCAAGCTCTTTTATTTCCACCATTGACTAAAGATGGAAACAATTATCTATTATGGGCAAAAATGGCAAAAGCAAATTTATTTGCAGAACAACTCTCGGATGCCATTATGTTTGAAGAATCTCCTACAACAAGTATTTCTATATCTCCTGTTATTCGTTGGAAAGCACTTCTTCTCCTTTGTTGTCATCTTGTACCTGCATTACAACATCAATATTTGGAAATGGAAGATCTTGCAGAACTTTGGAAGAATCTTAAATCTAGGTTTGATCATCAAAAGACCATTTTTCTTCCACGTGTATGTCATAATTGGATACATTTATGTGTCTTAGATTTTTCAAATTTAAATGCTTTCAATAGTGAAATGTATAGTATTGTTTCACAATTACGATTATGTCGACAAAGCATTTTTGAAGAAGAAATGATTGAAAAAACTCTCTCTATGTTTCTTCCTATATTTGCTATGCTTGCACAACAATACAAGAACATGAAATTTTAGAGTCATTCTGATCTCATGTCCTATCTACTTCTTGCGGAGAAGCAAAATGAGCTACTCTTACACAATGCGGAAGCTCGTCCTATTGGAACTACAATTCCAGAATCTCATGCATTTAATATTTCAAAGTCTAAGAAGAAATTATATAAACATGGGAAATGTGCTCATAAGTATCAGGGTAATCATAGTCAAGATTATTTCTATCCATATGGAAAGAATAAACATTCTACTATTAATTATAGTAGAAAACAAAAATCAGAGATGTATTCTTGCCATAAGTGCGGAATGATTGGACATTTAGCACATGCATGCCGTACTTCAGAATATTTTATTAAAATGTTCCAAGAAAATAAGAAATTACGAGCTGAGGCTTGTGAAGTTCATAGCATGGATGCGTCCATGGATTCAATTGGTGTTGATGACTTAGAGGCTTATATAAATGATAGAACCTCTAATGATGAATCAAATGATACACTCATTGATTCTACAACAACACATACTATCTTGCGAGATAGACGATTTTTTATTGAAAAATCTTCAATTTGGCAAACTAAAAATATGATGACCATGGTTGGAGCAAATGCGTTTTGTTTCCGAGAGGGCACAGTGATGGTAAAATTACCTCCGGGTTCCATTATAAAATGTAAACATGTGATGTTTGCACCCTCAATACCTCGGAGTCTGATCGGCTACCGAGATGTGCATATTAATGGTTAGCACCTCTCGACCACCACTTTAAATAAAAAAGAGGTTTTGGTTCTTGCAAAGAACCATAAAGTTGTTGAAAAAGATTTTGCTACAAAAAATGGTTTATATCGAATTGTGATTCGGCCTCCCATTATATTTAATTTTACATCATCTATCTCAGAGAGTCGTGTTTCTCTCTAGCATGGACAATTGGGACATCCAAGATGCAAATTATTTAGAAAGATCATTCTATGTATAACTAGGCACAATTTAAAGCCTACAGATGTAGACTCTATGGAATTATATTGTGCATGTATGCAAGGTAAAATAATTACTTGGCCTTCAATTTGAAAACTTCTTCTCTTGAAATTATTTCACCACATGAGCTCATTTTGGGTCATGTTCCAAATGTATCTCACTTACGAGTATTTGGTTGCCGTGCTTGAATTCTAGTATTAGAACCTCAACAACGTACCATTGGAGCTCATCGACAAGAAGGCATATATATTGGTTTTGATTCACCAAGTATTATTCGTATTATTAATCCATCAATTGGCACATTATTACGTGCACGTTTACAAAATTACCGTTTTGAAGAAAATATATTCCTATCTCTTCAAGGAGGAGTATCCAATCAACAAAGAAATAAATTACTCATATTTGAAGCACCAGAAACGTTTACAATGAATCCCGATCCTATGACATCTTTGGCAGAAACTAAAGTTGTTAAGATTTTGCATTTAAAATGGATCGCGGATGAAACACCTGATGGCTTCAATGATGTACCTAGAATTACAAGAGTTCCTATTAATGAGGCTCAGAATGCACTTGCTCAGATTGCAGTGACATTGACTACAATACCTCAAGTTATAACAATAACAACTAAAAGAACTCGTGGACTAGATAAGCAACCCCGTAAGAAGAAGGCTATAAAATTAACTAATCTTGGTATTATTTCTCAAGAAATTGCTACTCATCTTATAGGACTACCAATTCATGATGATATATCCATGCATAATGTACCTTCAATTCCTATGAAAAACAATCTTGGAATTAGAAGGAATAAGAACAAGTTGAGTAAAGAATTATCTATTCTGTATTGTGCTACAGATGATATTTGGGACAGACCATCTATTACAATACATGAATCATTTGCATATATGATTATAGAAGCCCTTTCTTGCGAAGAAGACGATCCTGAACCTCAAACCATCGAAGAGGTGATGCATCGCTCAGATTGGTCAAAATAAAAAACTGCTATTGAAGAGAAATATGCCTCTTTGCGTAAGAGGAAAGTCTTTGGTCTAATTGTAAACACTCTTACATCTCGCCATGTGGGATATAAAATGGTATTAATATGCAAGCGAGATGCTCAAGGCCAAATAACCTACTATAAAGCTCGTCTTGTTGCTCAAGGATTTACTCAACGATTTGGCATTGATTATGAATCCACTTATTCTCCAATCATGGATTCAATTACATTTTGATATATTATTGGAATGACAATTCATGCCACCCTTGAGATGCATCTGATGGATGTAGTTACTGCATATCTATATGGTTTTCTTGATGCAAATATTTATATGAAAGTTCTACCTGGTTTAAAAACAGGAACTCTAAATCAATCTGCTCTAGGAAAATATTGTGGTATTAAATTAGGAAAGGCCTAGTATGGTTTAAAATAATCCGGACAAATGTGGTATCAACGTCTTCGAGATTATTTAATTACAAATAATTTTATAAGTGATCCATTAATCCCTTGTTTGTTTATTAAACGAGATAAAATTGGTTTTATGGTCATCACTATATATGTTGATGATCTTAACCTAGTGGACACTACATCTGCATGTGTTACAGCTACAAACCTACTTATATGTGAATTTGAGATGAAAATGCTAGAAAAAATAACTTTCTGCATTGGTCTTCAGATTATGCATCTTACAGATGGTAGCATTTTTTTCTACCAACTAATGTATATTAGACAAATCTTACAAAGATTTAATATGATTGATGCTTATCCATTGTCCACACCAATGGTTGGACGTGGTCGTGATGGTCATGATCCATACCGTCTATGCAAGGAGGAGGAGGAAATATTGGGAGACCAATATCCATACCTCGCAGCGGTTGGAGCACTTTTGTATTTAGCTACATCTACAAGACCAGATATTGCATTTGTAGTTAGTGTTCTTGCAAGACATAGTACACGTCCAACACTACCACATTGGAATGGCATCAAACATTTATTACGTAATTTAAAAGATACTAAAGACTTGGGATTATATTACACAAAATCGGCAGATCCAAAATTGGTTGTATATTGTGATGCAGGATATAAATCTGATATTGCAACAACTAAATCTCAAATAGGATATGTATTTTTAAGACATAGAGCTACAATATCATGGAAATCAGTGAAACAAACAATAACTACAACTTCATCCAACCATGCAGAAAATTATTGTCTTACATGAAGCATCTCGAGAATGTATTTGGTTGCGATCAATTGATAAATTCATTCAAACAACCTGTGGATTTTCATATGATGATTCTCCAACTATCTTGCATGAAGATAATAGTGCTTGTATTGTACAGATGCAAGTTGGTTTCATTAAAGGTGACAAGACAAAGCATATTGATCCAAAGTATTTTAGTTATACTCATGACTTGATTACTGATCAAGCACTTATAATTAAGAAAATTGAATCTACAAATAACCTTGCTAATCTCTTCACCAAAGCTCTCCCATTAAGCAACCATTGTCGACTTACTTATAGCATTGGTATGCGGCGACTTGCTTTTCTTGAATAAGAAAGTTAATGAGCTCTTTAAATAATTAAAGAAAATGATGTTGTACTCTTTTTCCTTCATCTATGATTTTGTCCTTAAATAAAATAAGGTTTTCCTAGATAAGGTTTTAATGAGGCAACAATTATTGATCTTGAAAGATCACAGAAAAGTATAGATCATAATTCTATACAAATTTTATATTATATAAATATTATGATAAGCGAGGAGTAGTGTTGAGATCATTAAATGTAGCCGACGCTCTCCATAATATTTACTGTAGACTACAATAATTACCATAGCTACAGTATTTAGAGTCTAGTGGAGAAGTATTGTTTATCCTCTCTTCTTTTCTCTTCTTGTATATGAGACACAACCATATCAATAGATTTTGGAGTGTGAAGCTCTCTCCTTAGAAACCCTCTTGTGTGTATGACTTACTACTACTCTTGTGTGAATGTATGACTTACTATTACTCTTGTGTCTTTCTAAACATTCTCAACACCCTTGAAGGGCTTTTCGAAAACATTCTGGAAGTAGTCACGACGCAGTGCAGGTTTCAACAAAAATATAGAAATGACAGATTGAATGCAACAATCGTTTTCTAAAATGTCACATCTGGAGAATCACGAGCTTTAGGGGTTCCGTTTGAAACTTACCATGAAAATGTCCTACTTGGATTCACTTTCAATTGCCATGCTAAAAGCATTGACACTGTTGCATAACTAGGCGTCATGTGGGCATCAACTCGTTACCAAAAGGCCACAATTTAATGCACCATGGCGGCAAAAGCAACTTTGATACGACTTCCATGCTCACAATACCAAGGGATTTTTAATCATATGCATAGTATCAATGGACATTACACGAAGTGCCTCCGAAATTCTCACTTTCAAATTGGTGTTGTACACTTCAAGTTTCATTGTTACTGATGTCAGAATGGTGTACTGCCAATTATATGAACATTGCTTCCTTGTACTTACACGCTAAAAAGCTTCATAAACAGGCTTAAAATATCATTCAATCTGCACCCACAATCAGGGTACTGGTAAAGTGCTTCGGAAGGTCGAACAAAGTTGGCGCCCTTGTCGTCATAGTTTTCTACATTTAACCATGATTCCTGAAATCAACGGTATGAAATAGTCGCAGTTCGACGTAGCACCACACGTGAAATCGTGTTGCTTCCAAAGCCAAAAAAAAAATTGGCTTCATCCCGGAAATCGTGTACCAAAAATACGAAAGCGACGCGTGTCATGAGGGCGCTCTTTATCTAAGTAATATGACATGAGGCAGCAGTTTACCCAGGGTGGGTTTGAAGGACCGCTCTCAGAAACGCCTAGAAGACGGTCTACTTTACGCTTCAGTGCACCAACTGTGTCTCCTTGCTGCCGTAGATCGACAGCTGGGTATCCAACAAAGAAATCCACCTGCAGTTCACAGAGAGCATTACCAGGAGGATTGCCCAGAGATGGACACGTCGAGAACTAACGAAAATACAAACAATTGAGGATTCTGGAGTGGTGCAAAACGACTTACTGCGTCCTGGCCATACAAAAAGACGTGTAGACGGCCTGTTGGATCCTCCAGTGTAAATCGGACCGCATACACAAAGGCTCCTTGCTCTGGCTGGTCTTTGCCTCCTGCAGTACTCTCGGGAAGAGGCACACAGAAATCAAGCACATCTGTTGGCCAAGTGGCCATGACTCGCACCATGCAGCGAAACTTGTTTGTCACCTGTTAGATACACAAACAAAGTCAACAATGAGCAAACTGACTTCGACAATCCACAACGGTGACCTCTTTTGAGCACTTCATCTGATTTCCCTTTAATGCACCTCAAAATGATGTAATGACGTAGTATTTCATTGCAGTTGTAATCCCATTGCAAACATGCGAAAGACTGAACAGAGAAAAGACCTGTGGATGGGTGAGAACTTCCCGTAAAGTAGAAACCTTCACATGATCGTAGCCTGTAACTGCAAAATCATGGTACCTTAGAAATGCTCTCATGAATGGTCTGTATGCATGACATAAGTTCAGAGCAGTTTCTACGAGATTCGAAATCAATGCTTGCACTCTGCAGTCGCATAGGTCAAACAAAGATTGAGAAATTATCGACATGAACAAAAAGATCAGCACTACTCAAATTGGTGTGGGATTTCGTCTCTTTGAAAAGCAGCCACTCGGATCAGTTTATCTACATTCGCTCTTGTAAGAAGAGAGACAGAGAGCGCGCGCGCCATCAACAAACACAGAGAGAGAGAGAGAGAGAGAGAGGCGGCATACCTAACATAGATTGAGGAGGTTTTGGGCACCACTGGGGGAGGCGAAGCGTTTCTGAAGTAAGGCGCTCTTTATATGCCCTGCAATCATTTTAGGGTAAGAGAAATCTTGATCATAGTAAAAGAGACCTCGAAAATTTGAAGCTGTTATGGATGACCAGTAGGAATGACTAAATATAATCAACATACGAAAGACCAATTGCAGCAACATCTTTATGCTTTCATCGCAAAAACCAACCTGCTCTTGAATATATTACTAACCTTTCACAATTCTGCACAGCTTGAGTGCTTGGAGAAAGGATGCCAATCTTGCTCTTATGAAGGAAGATGCCTTCATACAATCCTTTACGAATACGACACCCAATATTCCGCAATTTCACCCAGTCGCCTGCCAGGGGTATCTGTGGCCCTGAGTCATCCTCGGCCACATCGAAGGGAACTAGAGGCAGGACAGTACCTAACACTGGGAAGCTGCGCATCACATCAACCGGCAATGCTAGCTCCTTTGCGCTCCATAAATCTTGCCCTGGATCATCACTCTCGCCTTGTTCCCTAAAAGACAGAAGGTCAACAAATTCACTACCTCAGCAGATGATGATTATCACAACGTACAAATGCAGTTTACGGAGTGGAACAATGATGCATCACTAAGGAAGTCTCTTTCTCTGATAGTGATGCGCTGTGGTCAAGGGAAAAGAAACTGCATAGAGAGTTGCAGTATGCATAGCCAGAGACCGTACACGGGATTTAGACATGCAGGGCTTGTATCGGTTCCATCCCAAACATAGATGATGACGCTATTTTCAGCACTTTGTTCATTTACATACAATATCTGCAAAAACTTTCATACTTTGTCACAAATCCTGTACTTTTCACCAACCACTCCACACCAAAGGTCATGTGTCAGGCATCGTCTCGACCTTGTCAATTAATAAACATGTACTAGTACACAACTAAACCCCTGATTTGATATAGTGTCAGTATGTTCCGAAAGCCCCAGCTTTTTAGCATATTTTCTAGAAAATTTGCGAGCATGATACAATTGCTGCTAGTAAACAGATACAGTAATAAATAAATAAAAGCGAACATAAAATTACACATGAAACACATGCATTAAATAGAAAGACTGAAATCCTCACACTAGAAGAATGTGAGAAAGAATCACGAAGTACTCACCTTACAACACAAATCAAAGTAGGATTCCACATTTATATCTTTAATCTGCTTCATATATTTATTAGTTCCTGCAACTGTTAGCAAATGACACCATAAGCAGATGACTTAGGATCCATACCTTGCAAGATCTACTTGAAAGACAAACTCGGCGTAAATAAATGTTTACAAAGTAGTTGTAACGGAGCGGTAGAAAGGAGGCTCTTGTATTCCTAACGCTGACTCTGATTCACATAAGTTCATCGGCAGAACATCTGCGACGAAGTGTACAAAAGATTTCTGGAGAACATGAGTAAGTGACGTACATACATGTATCAATAGGGTGACTTGATGCCCATGTGCGAAGAAGGTCTACAATATCACGATCATGTGCCTCCACAGAATAACGGCTGTGAGACTTTTGATACGGTTCATAGCCATCTCCTTCAAGCCCACTTAATAACACAAAGGATGCACCATATTTTGGATTTCCTATCGCCTGAGGAGCATCCGCGTGACTTCTCATCTGCTAACCACTCACATGTTGTAACTTCACACGCTATGTACATGCGTGCTTTTGAACCCATTAGAGTACACACATCGACTAGGAGGACCGATCTCCGATTCACAACTTGCAACATACAACTGCAAAACATGACACCGAACACAACATAACCGAACTGGGTGCCTGCTGCAGACTTCCATATCAGAAGCAGAAGCAAACCCTGGAAATGGAGATTTTGAATGGTGACGCACCTGAATGCGATGAAACCTGATGATGTCACCCACGGTGTTCACCCGCGGCATTTGATCAGCAGGTGCGAAGTAGAGGACACGAAGTCCAGGGGTGTTGTAGGACATATCTACCACCGTCATTGTGCATAGGCAATCTGTCACCAGCAATATACCATCCCAGCTGAGACCGTAAAAAGATAGAAGAGAACCACGGACATTAATTTCTACATTAAGGCATAACACTGAGAACATTATAGTCTGAATTTCATGGTGAGACGCCGCGCCCCCGAGGGCTCCATGTACTCATGAGGGAATTAAGCGTAAGAGCTAACCATCTCCTCGGGTGGACTTGGGCTGCTCGTACTCAGCCACAATGCCGTAGAAGTTCACCTTTTTGTCTACACATACTACGGCATCTGCAAGCCGATCGTAGTTGTATTTCCCTTGCACCCGATGCAGCTCTATCGACATGGTCCTCTGCAACATGAGAACAGACGATTATGTAAGAAATACCACTAATAGCTCCACCTCGACCACCGCGAAACGTAAAGCGATCACATAGAATTGATTTTCGCGGAGGCGAGGAGTCAGCTTCCTTCTTCTCGTATTCACACCCACCAACAATGCAATCATTCCTCGATTATATCGACAAATTCACTGATACATTTATGTGCTATATAGCAAGTCGAAAGCAATGCACCATATTAAAACAGTGCAACAATAAAAATAAAAATTAAAAAATTAAAAAACAATATCATAGTGAAAACAGTTAGTAGCGAAACTTGAGGAAAATGCCTGCAGCGAAATTTTTGCAACTTGGAACCCTAGAGTGACGTTATTGCTAATCGAGGTTGCTGACTAAAGCTCCCGGAAAGGTTCCGAGCATACAGACTTCCCTCGTAACCTAAATCTTTGCTTGAACATGCAATCATTCTGGTGGTCAAAAACTCGCAGACAGGAAGAGTGCCTGACAACCCTGACCACCACATGCATTATCTTGCACATACCCTTCGACATCATTCTTTTTTGCGAAGCCGTAAAATACAAACGAGCCAAGCATAGGAGCGTAAATGACCTTATACCTTCTTTTGGCCTGGACATGTCGACGTCAAATCTCAATGTATGAAGTCATCGATGCAATGCCCAATAGTTTGTTGGATTCATGTTCATCACAAGCCAATTACATTCCCAATGATCCGACACTACTTTAAAAACTCCACTAACAACAGCCAATACATTAATCAAATTGCGCGCTCTTCAAAATCAACCACAGTCAACCTAAGCTTGGCGGACACAAACATGGCGGTAGAACGTAAGACATAAAATTCAGGAAACGAACTTCAGCAGAGGAAGACTCGAACCTTGGAAGTAAGATACAGCAAGCTCGGCAGATTCCCAGCTCCGAGAGATTTAGGAGATCGGGGACATGACCCAATGCGATCGAAACGTGAGGTTAGGGTTTCGGCAAACCCAAGATGAAAAAAAAAAAAAAACCCCACTCTTTCAAAAATGGTGCTAATTAGATTCCACAATGCATCAGACCCACCTCCTCTCACACGGCATTTCAAAATCTGCTTTCGATTCCAAGCGTTTTCACACGACACATTTCTCATTAAAAAAACAGAAGAAGATTAGTAACGGGGGCGTGGGAATTGAGGGTGATGTGGGCAATGAAGGACGTGATTCGCATGAAACCACGATTCGATTGTGCGCACGCTGAATACGTCTTCTCGCAGTCGGTCCGATGGATGCAAATGCGGGTCCAATTCCTGGGAGATTCCCGTGCAGTTGGGTGCCGGTGTCGGTGAGCACGCACAATTGCGGGATCACACGCCGCCGACGGATTCTTAATCATTCTGGAGCCTATTCTTATGCAGAAAAAAAGCACGTCATGATGGTCCATGTTAGCATTTTTCTGACTAGATTGTTGGTTCGAGGTGGTTTGAGGACGGCTTCATGAATTCTACGCCAAAACATCCTGTAATATTTAATATGGGTATTTACAACAACGAGTCAATGTGCTTGTTGTATGAGCAAAGCATATTTTGTAAAATTTAGAATTAATAATTCTAAATACTTTCTAATATTTTTATAATTTTAATATATTTTTATTTAGAAGATATGATTAGGGGTATTATTTTCTTTTTCTTGTTGGGATTTGTGATTGTGAAAGTTAATCTTTGAAGATGATGTAATTAAAGATCAAATTATCCAATAATTTATTGTTAGATGATCAAGGTTTAGATTGTTGTAAAAATAGTGAATTAAATTTGTGCACATTACATAATCAAATGTTGTTAGAATTGATGTAGAATGGATTCTATTTTAGGAAAAATAAGTCATAATCTATCCAATTTTATTTATTTATTTATTATTATTATTTATTAATATAGATTTGAAGATTTATAGTATTCTAATCACATATTTTTAATTTTTTGTTGCAAAGAAAATATAATAATATTAATTATTATATTATTTTATTATATGAAGTTTAGTTTTAAATTTTTTTGTTATAAATTGTTAACATTTTAAATATATGAATAAAAATACATTTAATCATTAAAAAAATATTTTTTATTCTTAATAAGTTATATTTTAAAAATATTTAATTATAAAATGCAACTCTTTAATAAAACTATAAAAATCATTGTCTATAGAGTTTTTTTTAAAATGTTCAATATTTAGATTTAAATAAAATAACTTAATATTAACATATATATATATATATATATATATGTGTGATGGTAATAAATGAGAAGAGAAGAAGAAGTAGTTTATATGATATGTAAAAGAAAAATTAGTGCAAAACAAAAGGATATCAATTACATGATAGTAAAAGTTTTGTATATATTGAATAAGAATTAATTGAATTCTTAAATTAGAAGATAAAGAGATAATTAGATAAAATATATAAAAAATTGATACAAGAATTCAATAAAAGAGGAGCAAGGGACAAAAAAAAATTACTAAACTAGATGTTTGCCAATATTGAAACAATATCAATTAAAAATTGATAAATTAGTTTTTATTTTATAATATCCAAAGAAGACATGTTGGTTTCATTGAAAGTCAAAGAGAAGTTGGTTATTTTTTTTTTTCTCATCATAAGATAAACACTTATTCAAAGAAGGCCAAATATCTCTATTTAACCTCATATTAGTTTAATAAAAAAAAAAAAACTTATTTTATTTATTATTTTTATAATTGGACTTATAAGACTTAGATGACTTGACAACTAAAAGATAGAACAAAGAGTAGCATGAATATCGAGTAGGACTAAAAAGAAGAAATGTTTCTTAATTGATTGATATATTTTTAATATTTTTACAATCTTAGAAAAATCTTTAATTATTTCATTCTCATATCTTTAAGTTTTATATTTGACATTGATAAAATTGTAGAAACATTCTAACAAATATTGTTTTCAAAGATGTCTAAAAAGTATATCATACTTAAATCTTCTTTAAATTTTAATAAGTAATAATTGGACCTATTTTGGATCTTAATATGACCCATTGTTTTAAAGTGGTAGATAGATGTTTGAAAAGATTAATGAAAGATACATCTTGTAAAAGTAATTAGGTTGATTAAATTTTATTATTTTAAGTGTTGTATGATTCTTTATATAGTACAAAATTTTATTTCCATATCTTCTTTTATTAAAAAATAAAATATAATTTAAAAATATGATTTGTATAAATCAATAAATCAAATAATAAACACATATTAATTCACAAGTCATATTTTGCTTTGAATTTAATAATTATTGTGATACATAAATAAATGTCACGAATATACTCATGTAAACCAGTAACTACATATATAAATAGGTAGAAGTAAGTAAAAGTAGATAAAAATAAGTTAATTCTACAGTATTTGGTATAGATGCTTCCTAGAAGCTTCATAGACATTGCTTTGACTTTATAGGTATCTTTAATTGACTTTTTGGATTAGAAACGTGGTCAACAAGTTAGCCATGTGCCACACATGTTAGCTTGAAGACCAAGCTAACAATGTGGCCCACACGTAGAAAAACTTGCCTTGTAAGTCAAGGCATGTGTCCTACAAAGTCAACACTTATTGGAGGTCCTATAGAATGTCGCCACGTAGCCCCTAGTTAGATAGTATATATAGGGACAAGAGTGAAGCCTTCTTCACTCTTGTCAACTCCTTTCTTGCTTCCAGTCTAGTTTCAAGAGTCTATAGTTTTCTTGTCTTTTGGTAATAGCCATTCCAGTTTCTCTTTCAATATACATACTTGTTTATTTATATTTTGTTACCTATCTTTGAGTAAAGGCTCACTTGATTGAATTACTTTTTCATCGAGTTCTTGTCCTTGATAAATTTGCAAGAATACACCTACAATATTAGGGCTTTGTCTAATCTTGATTAAGAGTAGATTACCCCCCCCTTTTTTTTAATAAGATATAAGCATATTAGAAGTTGTGGATTACCCTCTTCTAAACTGATATTGTCCTTAGTATTTTCTTTGTTCTCAAGTCCTCCTATTTATCTTGAACGATATTAGACATATTCTCTTTTCTAAGTGTTATCATGGCAGATCTTGTTGAAATGAAGAATACAATGGTACAAATGCAAGAGTAATTGAGGGAATTAATTCTTGCGATGCATCAACTCAATTTACCACCACAAGGAGCAACAAGATTGGCAGAAGATAAAGCTGTAGAAATAATTGGAGCTGCTTCAACATCTGCACAAAATCATGTCCCTTCTCTTATAGTGGAACGCCCTTCTAGTGTTAGAGAACCAAGAATTATCCTATCCGAGAAGTTTGATGGCACCAAATCCAAGTTTTGAGGATTTATCAATTAAGTATAACTTTTGATTGAACTTGAACCTCAAAGCTATCCAACTCCATGATCGTAAGTTAGATTCATTGGTACGTTTCTTTCAGGTTTAGCACTATCATGGTTTTTGTCTTTTCTTGAACAACGAGATTCAATATTGGATAATCTAGAGGCTTTTCCGGCAAAGTTTCGATCCATGTATGGAGAATATGATGTAATTTATATTGCAAGTAATATGATCTGTATTTTACGACAAGATAATCGATCAGTAATGTTATATGCTTCACAATTTCGACAACTTGCAACTGATATCAAGTGTGATGATGCTGCACTTATTAGTGAATTTCACTATGGATTACAATATGAGGTAAAAAAAATTAATGGTCAACTTATCTAATCTTCAAACATTGAGTGAACCAATTGACTTTACTGTGAAGTGTGACAATCGTCTTATTGAAATTCAATCTGAGAAGCGTACAAGTGGACCTCAATGTTATTATAATTCAATGGCAACACCAACACTTCTTCAACACATACATTCAGAAGTAGAGGATATGCAAATCAATGTAGTATGTTTCAAACCTCTTATTGAGCAAGAAAAGACTCGTCGTCATCAAGAAGGATTATGTTTATATTGTGGAGAACCAAAACACACTGCTCAACATTATCCAAAGAAACACCGCAACTACAAAATAAGGAGTATGGTTGTCAAAGAAGACAATATGTCAAAAAACAAGTTTGTCCAGCTACAATAGGGATCGTGCAGTTGGAACCTTGTACAACATCTAGTAAAGGTCCTATTCTCTCCTCAGAGCCTTCTCCTTGTTTTACATTAAATGTTATTTTAGGATCCAAACATTACAAAGCCTTTGCCTTGTTAGATTCAAGAGCCTCAGCGTGTTTCTTAGATGAAGAATTTACTAAAAGACATAGCATATCTTTAGTAAAGAAAACTAAACTTATTCATGTAGAAGTCATAGATGGTCGTCCATTGTCTTCTGGAGATATTACTCACAAAATCCTTCCTATAGAAGTAATAATCAATGGTCATAATAGCTTTGTAGTATTTAATATCATTAAATCTCCCTCTAATCCAATCATTTTAGGTTTATCAAGGTTAGAAAAATGCAACCTTCAAATAGATTGGATTTCCCGAACTCTTACTTTTTCTAAAAGTATAACTAATAATGTAGTTAATCAAGTAGAGAGTCATAAGTCCAATTCAATTAAACCCGTGTTTATAGGTGCAAAAGATTTCTTGCATGCTGCTATGAAAGAATCACCATATAATATTTATGCCACACCCGTTTCTAACAGTGCAAAGACTTCAAGTGACATTCCAAGCCAATCTCAAGAATTTCAAGATGTATTTGAAAAAAAGAATGCAGATACACTTCTGGAACATCATCCCTATGATTGCTCAATTGACCTTCAAGAAGGAGCACAACCGCCATTTGGATCAATCTATAGTTTATCACAAAATAAGTTGACTGAACTCAAAGAGTAAATTGAAGAAAATCTAGCCAAAAATTTCATACGCCATTCTAAATCTCCGACAGGAACTCCAATTCTATTTGTGAAGAAAAAAGATGGATCATTGCGAATGTGTGTTGATTATCGAGGACTCAAAAAGATTACCATCAAGAATAGGTATCCACTACCTTTAATATCTAGACTTCTTGATCAGCTGAATCAAGCTAAGATCTATACAAAAATAGATCTCCGGGGAGTATACAATCTAGCACGCATCAAAGAAGGAGATGAATAGAAGTCTGTGTTTTGAACTAGGTATGGACATTTTGAATACAACATCATGCCTTTTGGACGTACAAATGCACCATCAACTTTTCAACATCTAATGAATGATGTTTTTCGAGAGTTTTTGGACGATTTTGTGGTCTGTTATCTACACAACATCTTGATCTATTCTAAGAACCTAAAAGAACATAAATTTCATGTTCGTCGTGTATTACAAAAATTAAGAGATGCAAAACTCTATGCGAAGATAGAAAAGTGTGTATTCCACACTACTCAAGTCAATTTTTTAGGTTACATGATTTCAAATGATGGACTTA